CGCAGAGAAAGCGAACCATATTTCCATTTCCCCACGTACGTGGTACCTTCCTCACTTCGCAGTGACTCACCCACAAAAGAAGAAAATAAGGATAGTTTTCGACGCCGCCGCAAGGACGGGCGGACGTTGTCTTAACGATGCGTTGTTGACCGGACCGGACTTATTGAAGTCGTTGTTCGGAGTTCTGCTACGATTCAAAGAAGGAAGCGTGGCAGTAATGGCAGACATTAAGGAAATGTTCCTGCAAGTGAAAATCCGAGAAGAAGACAGGGATAGCCTTCAATTCTTATGGCGGCACAATCGTGACGCGCCACCGGAAGAGTATAGAATGACGTCACTCATATTTGGAGCGGCATCATCACCATGCATCGCTATATATGTAAAGAATAGAAATGCGCAGGACAACGCACATATCTATCCAGAAGCAGCTTCCGCTACGGAAAGCAATTTTTATATGGATGATTACCTACAGGCATTTCCCGACGTGACGACGGCCGAAAGGATAGTAAACGATATGTATGAATTACATAAGCATGCTTCTTTCCAACTGAGGGGATGGGCTAGCAACCGACCCGAAGTTTTAAGTAATATGGAAAATAAATATAAGAGCGACAGTGCTTCGCTTGGAGATAAAGAGCACACAGAGCGCACGTTAGGTTTGATTTGGAATATCAAACGGGATATAATAAGTTTTTCCACAAGTCTACGTAGCACACCGGAAGAGGTGATGGAGGGTTTACGACCGCCTACGAAGAGGGAGATAACTAGCGCTGTGATGTCAGTCTTCGATCCTTTGGGACTCGCATCACCCATAACGATTCAAGGGAAGTCGCTGATCCAGCAAGTATGGAGGACAGGCATCTCTTGGGATGAAGAAGTTTCACACGAGTTACACGTGTTATTTTGTAAATGGATATCGGAAGTGAAGAAATTAGGTCACTTAGAAGTACCTAGACCCGTTGCTGAAGGCATCGGCAAAGGAGAGTTACATACTTTCACGGATGCTAGTGAAAAAGCATACGCTGCCGCGGTGTATTACGTCACCACGGACGAGCAAGGAATAAGGCGGATTACGCTGATCGCCGCAAAGGCAAGAGTAGCGCCATTGAAACCAATTTCGATTCCAAGGCTTGAATTGCAAGCAGCTCTTATGGGCAGCAGACTGGCTGCTTCGGTTAGTGAAGAGAGCAAGTACGAGATGTCCGAGAGAGTGTTTTGGACAGACTCACGTACAGTGTTAGCGTGGATTAAGTCGGATCCTCGCGCTTTTAAACCATTCGTTGCTCATCGATTGGCTGAGATCGAAGATCACAGTAAGCCATGTGAATGGCGATGGGTTCCAACGTCACAAAACGTGGCAGACGACGCCACTAGAAATTTTCCTTCCACCTTCGATGTAAGTCATCGCTGGTTTCAAGGACCTGAATTCCTCAGGAAAAGTCCTGATTTATGGCCCAAACAAGTGGACACCATAAATAGCTTAGAAACAGGTGAAGAAAAATCGCCAAAGGGCGTAAATACGTTAAGAAAGCAAGAACCGTTAAGTCTACCCGACTACGGACGATTTAGCAGCTTTAAGAAATTCCTTGGAGCAACTACACGCACCTTACAAGCGGTAGAAAAATTCAAGAGTTTAAGAAAGTCGGTTAAAGGACCCGACGACGCAACCGAAAAGTCGGTTATGTGTTCCAACAAAGTTTTAGCAAAGTCGGTTAAAGGACCCGATAGCGCGTTGGACACAGCGCTCTTGAAAAAGGCGGAAATATTAATTTGGAAATTCATTCAAGACGAGTGTTTTCATTCGGAAATAAAATGTTTGAAAGCAGGCAAAAGCGTTGAAAGAAGTTCACGCTTAAGTAAATTATCTATGGAAATAGGAGAGGATAACTTACTCCGTTTAAATGGACGTTTACCTTTCAAGTCTAATTTGACCGAGGAAAGTAGAAAACCTGTCATATTAGACGGTAAACACGAAATCGTTAAAATGATGATTAGAGAAGTTCATCATCATTTTGGACACGCCAATCACCAGACGGTGATGAATGAGGTGAACCAGAAATTTTACGTCTTGAACTTGCGTAATGTAGTACGAAGTGTGTCACACCATTGTCAGTGGTGCAGGACATACAGGTCAAAGCCGCAAAACGTGCCACAAGGAAATATTCCTCTGGAAAGAATAGCTCATCATGAGCCACCTTTTACATGCTCAGCTGTAGATTATTTTGGTCCTATGAGTGTGACTATAGGAAGGCGACACGAAAAACGTTGGGGCGTTTTATTCACGTGTCTGACCACCAGAGCAGTACATCTGGAATTAGCAGCCTCATTGACACCAGCGTCAATGATAATGGCGTTAAGGCGATTTATCGCCAGAAGAGGAAAACCAGCCGTTATATACAGCGATAACGGGACAAATTTCAAAGCTGCAAATAAAGAATTGTTGAAAGCATGCGAAGAATGCTATGAGGGCATGACAAACGAGTCATTTAAGAAATATATTAAATGGAAATTTATACCTCCGGGAGCACCGCACATGGGTGGCGCCTGGGAGAGGTTAGTAAGATCGATTAAAATTGCGTTGACCGCTACGCTTAAGGAGAAGAGCCCACGAGAGGAGGTTCTACATACGTTACTTTTAGAAGCAGAGCATACGGTAAATTCCAGACCTCTGGTAACATTCAATATGGATAGTCCTGAAGAGGGTTTGACACCCAATCATTTTCTTCTGGGACGCTCATGTGGTGATCGACCACCTGGATTATTTTTAGAGCGACATCTGACGGGTCAACTCAATTGGAAAGCTGCACAGAGGTTAGCCGACCATTTTTGGACAAGATGGCTGAAAGAATACATGCCTACGTTAATACCTCGAACAGGTGATAACGGCAAGTTCATGGAACCTAAAGAAGGCGATATTGTTTTGATAATAGATCATTCGTTGCCACGAAATACGTGGCCAAAAGGTAAAATTAGTAGAACGTTACCGGGACCAGACGGTCACACCAGAGTGGTTGACGTCATTACTAGCACAGGTATCTTGAGGAGACCTACATCCAGAATAATAGTCCTGGTACCCGCGACGCCTCCCAAATGATGGTGCTAACGCACGGGGGGGAGATTGTTGGCGACGCGCCTATAAAATGTTTCAGTTTATTAAATCAACCGATGACGTTGCTATGAAAAAAGGGGTAGTCACGAGCAACGACGCTCTGATAAGAGAATGCTTAGTTAAATCTTTAAGAAATGTCGAATTAATGATATGAAGGTCTTGGGTTCGACTCCCAGGCCGGACTAGTTTGTTTGTTTTCCTAAGTAATATCGCTTAATAAATTCGTAAGGAATTTAAGATATAAATTATGTTACCGGATTTGTTCCCCGGTTGAAATCATCTTTCAAATGATGTAAATTCATAAGAATATTAAAGTGAAGTTAAAGATCGGATTTGTTCCCCGGTCGAGATAATCACTCTGTGCATAGGCAGAATTAATGGATATTAATTGCATAAATGTTGTTTTGTATAAGTTTGATACGTTTTGTACGAAAACAAATGCCTATTTGTTATGATTGATTAATGAGAACATTCATTTATATTGTTATCTGATTAAAGATAGTTTCATACAGTTCGAAAATTGTATAAAAGCATTTAATTTGCCTAATATGGTCAAAATTGGTGTATTTCATAATTTAATTTTTCTGATAGCCGAGAGCCGTGCAAAGTTAGTTGTTCACATAGCGTGAGTACACGGAAGCACGCTGGCCACGCCCTTAGGAGGCCGAATATGTAAAAATTTAAAATGTTTGTAATTCAGTGATTTATGTAAAAATTACTTGTAAAATATTTCAGGTTAATTGTACGTGCTAAAAAGGTAAATTCTGTGTTATTTTCATGTGAAAATTCCTGTGTATAAGTGAAATAATGATAGTTTTGTATAAGAAATTTAAAAGTGTTTTAAATAGTGAAATAAATAGAAAAAAATGTAAATTAAACTATTGTATTGGTTAGCTTATGTATAAATTCAAGTGAGAAACATTGTTTTAACTTTCTGTGTTAAATATTTAAGAAATTTCGATTTCGAACTTGTGAGTAAAATAGGCAGTTTTCGTTTAATAAATAAAAGGTTTTTTATGATATGAAGATATGATGTATATCATGGTGTAGATATTGTTTTGTACTACCTATATTGATAAATTGTATTTGTATATGATTTGAATAAATAAAGATATTGAGTGAAACGTGAGAGAGTAATAGTACAAATTCATGTAATTAAGTTGCGCAAGCGCGCAGATGGCGCGGCTCACTTTCGCGTTTAGCTTAGGGGTAGGATAGTAAATTGATTTTATTGCAATTCGTTCGGGGATCTTACCAGCAGTCAATAAGAAGAGGAAAGAAAAAGTGTAGGGAAGTGATAGGGAAAAGTGATTACTCTCTCACGGAACGATTTGAAGATAATTGCTGTTTCATTCCCAAGTAATTCATCCCTTAAGTTATACAGTCCACATCGAAGAATTAAGGCGTCGGGACCGGGACGACTTCGGAAGACCCGTAATCCCCGTCTGAACCTACTTGCTGAAAAGGAAGAGGTTATCGCCCTTGTGTGTTACTCCGTCGCGGAGATCACATACGTTGTTCCCGAACCCAACGTAGGCGTTATAGGAGGCCGGATCGAGAGAAGCCTCGATTCCTGTTTCTTAGTACCCGATCCGCTAGGTCCCTTTCAATTGGTCCTTTTCAGGATCAAGAGGGACACCGACCTGGTCCTTTTCAATAAGTAAGTTCTTTACAGATAATTGGTCCATGTTCCAGCTGAAGACTAAAATTTTATTGGGTTTAGTGTTGATCGCTTCCTCTAAGATTAGATTTGTGTGTCTTATCCTGAATATGCCGATTCTGTACTAGAGGGTTTTTCAGAGGCTGTTAATGTGCTGCTAGAAACGTATATGGAATAATCGGATTTGATTGATAGGGTTTTATCTGAATCTGTATCCTTTATAACAATAACCTTCTCAGTCTGTATCTGAAATAGATTTGAATTCCGGAAGTGATTGTCTATACGTCTTTTTCTGCAATGCGTCTGATTCTTTAATACTTTTGTTAACTCCGGAATTTCCTGAATTTTATCTTCGTCTTTATCTACATTTGCATGAGTGGATGAAATATCCTTTTTATATAAGCCATTAATTCTAATTCACGACAGCGTCGTCATTGGAAATGAAATGAATGATTTTTATTCAATATAGATTATTGTATCACACTTATTGTTCTTACCACTTTTATGAACAATATTAGAATCATATTCGGCTAGTCGTAAGTGCCATCTAGTCAGTCGGTTATTTGTTTCTTTTAGAGAGTTTAAACAGGCAATAGGTTTATGATCTGAAATGATCATCGTTAACTTTTTGCCATAAGGATATGGACGGAAGTGTATATGCCCATACTATTGCTATGTTTGACTTATTATTGACTGCCTCGTTGGTCTAGTGGTTGTAGTAGTACGACTTTTGATCATGAGGTCCTGGGTTCGAATCCCGCGTCGGGCCAAAAAAAGCTAGTTATTGAGATTTTCCGTCAAGAAATTCTCAGTAGTTGCCCGGAGTCAAAAAATTGGCGGTGTCTCACCCCCGTGCCTCGGAAAGCACGTAAAGCCGTTGGTCCTGCGCCTGATCTCTCTCCGGTTGTGTCGGTTTACCGTCCCATCGGATTATAAGAGTGAGGAATTAGAGAGTGCACCTGTGCTTGCACATACACTTGGGCACTATAATCCTGTCCTGGGCCGATGGCTAGCCTCCGCTGAGGCAGGCCGCCGTGGCTGAAATTCGGTCTGGAGGATTAATTAAATAAAATTGCTACGTTTTTGCTTTTATTTATTTTGTGCTATTGCTAGCAACTCCTTTTCAGTTACACTGTAACTCGTTTCGGTATCATTTTTATTGTTATTGTTATCATCAGGGGGGGGGGGGGGTGGGGGGGAAAAAAAATGGGGGGGGGGGGTTCTCGGGGGGGTATTTTACTAGCGACTTGCTCGGCTTAACAAGGATGCGACTAACCAATGAAAGAATGGTGTTATTTTTTAATACTTGGTTAGAAAACGCTTATATTTATCTATTCTTAAATAAAATATCAAGATATTCGTTTTGAGTTCGACTAACATAAGTAATGGGTTTGTCTAGTCCTACTGGCCCTTGTGAAAGGACCGCACCAAAAGCAAATTCTGAAGCATCGGAAGAAATACCTCTGAATATACTAAGTGGTTGGCATCTGGCAAACTACATACTTAGTCCATAAGAAGTGAAAATGCTCACAGCTGCCCAACTCCTTCAATTCATAATGAAAAAGATATTATATATAGTTAGAAAGATAAGCTTAGTAGTAAGCTATAGGCATAGCAGCGATCAGAATAGATCTTACCACTGGTCGCAGTGCTACTGGTCTTATAAGATCTGCATAGCTGCCCGCACAAAAAAACCATATAAGTAATGCATAATATATGCCATTCATTGTTCTATTATTCATCACCAGCCCATAAATTCCACAGCTGGGCATGGGCCTCAAGAAGCTTTAATCATCAGATTTAGCAAGCGATTTGACGATCGCAAGTACCAGACGTGAGCACGCTGCTTGCCCGTCACCGGTCTGGGTATTTAACGAATTGACTTGAGCCAAGTACCTACCTAAAAAACTATAAAGGTACAAGAAGCCAATATTCCAATACTTAATAGAAAACCACCAACACTTCGATTGCAATCTTGGATTTATTCATTAATTTCAGCCTTTTTATCATGGAGACCTTCTGCTGCATGTGCGAAAGAAAGGTTATACCGGACTCCTACCGGCCAAAACCCCACGGTGGTCACCTTCAGCGTATATGAGTGGAAGGGGTCCCGGGATCTCCGTTCGGAATGCAACCGGTGCCCCTTTCTCGGTTTGCTTTATAAAAACACATCCCAGGCGAGTCCTTACTGCCTCCAGCAACGTCTCGCAGTGCTATCACGGTGCTCGAGACCAATTCCGAGTCACCGACTTCCTCATGGATTACATTGCTAGATGCTCGAGGCCCCAGCCTCGAGCACCCGTACACGATCATCAACGAGCGAGCCGCGACGAATGCCTTGCCGACGTCCTCTCTCGCCACTGCTCAGCAGCCTCCTTCTGGACCATAACGGATTCACAGAAGGCATGCCGAGTCCCTGCTCAGCATCGCCGACAAGATTGCTGGCAGAGAGAGTCATTCCTTACAGTCTATCAAAGTTTTGTGAACTAGGCCTGCATAAGGGGGATATTTGCCATAGTTATCACATTTGGTTACCACAGTTTTATATTTTATGTATTACGAAGACGCTGCCGCCCATTTGCTGCTTTATTATTTCTGTTGCATATGAGGTAGTGGATTTTTTTTTATAGGAGATGGGACAAACGAGCGTACGGCTCACCTGATGGTAAGTGATTACATATTTCATCGATATTCTTACACCTACAGTGCACGGTCAGGTCAGGTCAGGTCTTGGATAATTATTAATTAAATTAAAAATAAATCATACTGAGTGATGTGCAGCTTTTTATTACGAATAAGCAAGACACTTCCCTTAAAACTAGCAGTCAGTTATTTACAGCTTACATCCTAATCAGGTCCCACAGCTGGGCACAAACCTGCCCCCATATATATGCGAAGGCAAGTCTGTGGTGCCCAGCTCATATATACATAATAAATTTGATCTAATTGTAATTCTAAATTTCAATCTAATTGAGAGGCAAAGAGAATTTCTCGTGTACTTTCATGTGCCTATTTAGAGTTCCTCGCTGCGTGAAGCTCTGACTGCACACGCCGCATTTATGCGGTTTTTCACCCGTATGGATTCTATGATGATCGTTGAGTTTCTTTTTAGTGGAGAAAGTTTTAGAACAATAAATACAAGAGAAGGGTCGTTCTCCAGAGTGAATTCTTTTGTGTTCGACTAGTGACGAACTAGCCGCGTAGGATTTTTCACACAGATCGCATTTAAAGCGCTTATTTCCTTCATGTAATTGCAAATGTCTCACTAAGTTACACTTCGCGGAGAAAGAATACGTGCATATTTGACATATGAATTTTCTACCTCTATGACATTTTGATATATGAGACAATAATACTGTGTTTGAAAAGAATTTCTTGTAACACTGATCGCACTCGTGCTTTCGCTCCCGGTTTTCCTCGTGAGTTTCCATATGACCCTGGAAACATAATGCAGTACAAACATACAACTATAAAATATTTTTAGAACTGTATAGGATCAGCTAAAATTGCTGTCTTATGTTGTTATGCGGGAGTGCTGATGCAAATTCGGTTCATAATCATTTATTGTATTCCTACATTATAGCCTATTAAAATTTCAGTGCTGAAGAGTCCTCCCCATGGATTGCCTTAGGAGGGATATTTGCATATATGCCACGCTTGGCAAGCGGGTTGGCAACTGCAGCTTTTGTTATTTTCATTTGACAATGAGTCTCGCTCTCATAATCTCATTTGATATACTACCGATTTTAATAGAGAGTAAACTAATATACACACTTATGTACTTAGTATAATCCTGACCCAGTGATCGAAATTCGGCATGGCGGACATCACTATTATTGTAAACTCAGTAATACGTTCAGCAGGACTATAAATCTAAGGTGCTAAAAACTCGTTAGTAAAACAATGCATACCTTTAGTACAGCGGTGGAGACAAACGTTTTCCCACAAATGTCGCATATACATGGACTGCGTTCACCGTGCGTTTTCTGGTGCATACGCAGTGTACGCTTGTTTTTGGACGTCTTGCCACAAGTGCGGCACTTGAGGCTGTCGAGGCTAACGCGAGTATGTTCGCTCTCGTTATGCCGTCGCAGACCACCCCATGTCATGAAGATTTTGTCGCATGGGGCACAATGAATTGATACCTGAAATTGTTATTTTTAAATTATAAACTATCGAATTTTCTTGCTGTGGTCGGTGTTAAAGAAATCCATTATTCTACGATCTTGATCTTCCATTATACACGTTTTCTTAGGATGGAGTTCAGTGGATGGAAAATTTTTGGTGTGTCATTTGTAAGTTATCTGATTGATTTATTATAATATATTTAATATATTTTTCATTATTTATGATCCTTAGTGTTGAAATGGGTACACATAAATATTTTGTTTCACAGTGATCGATTGTTAACCGATGTAGGTTAATAATAGATTATATAAATATATTAACGGTAGCATAGTGGTATAAATAAATAAATAGTACGGTTGCAACCTGTTTTAATAAATAAAATAACCAACTGTAACTAATATTTTTTTAATCGGTACTTACAGTCATTTACCAAATTATGATTTCTTAAATTTACGCGAACACTACACCATGGGTGCGTTTGGCAGAAAAAAGCGCTAGCAAGCGCTTATAAGCGCTAAAATAGTTTTCGGCAAGGACACGATTGCTACTTCAGTAGCGCTGACACAATCCGCCATTTTGCTTATTTAATTTGTTTGTTTTGAAGTAGAGTTTATAAGTTGTTTTGTGCAATATTAGTTTTAAGTAATATAATGACATGAATAAACATATACATGCTATTAAAAACTCATGATTGGTAAGTTTTAATATGAATACTTTACAAACATATATTTAAATTAGGTTAGATTCCCCGGTTAAAACTAACATCGTGTCCTGGAGGAAAATAGCTACTTACGATTTGACAGCGCTTACCGCTTACGATCGCCATTTTGCTTACAAGCGCTTGCTAGCGCTTTTTTCTGCCGAACGCACCCTATAACTCCGTAAATTTAGTTTTATTCAATAATAAAACTAAATTTACGGATGTTATGGCGTTTAATTAATTACTTTTACTTATTTTTAATTCCCGACGTTTCGGGTGCTTTACAGTACCCATGGTCACGGGGGGGACTGACATGTTTGATATTCAAAAACTGAAGATAGCCGGGCTAACAATGACATTGGGACGTCAAACATCTCAGTCCCCCCCCCGGGACCATGGGTGCTGTAAAGCACCCGAAACGTCGGGAATTAAAAATAAGTAAAAGTAATTAATTAAACGCGATAGCTCCGTAAATTTAGTTTTATGCAATTACCAAATTTTTTATTATAAAAATATTTGCCACAACGACATTGACCGAGCTTATCTCCAGTCAATAATTTTAAACAGTACACACTTTTTATAAAACGCTTGTAACTTGGGTAACATATTCTAATCCAAAATTTGTGGTCTTTGTAGATTTTTAGTACTTTTACTGCATAATCTAAGCAAGTCATACATTTTTTTCTCCATTATTTTTTCTCCAGAGATAGGATACATTGATACTTGTATTTATGTTTCCCCATTCTGACTGGTAAGAAAGCTCAGCTACAATCAAAATAATTATAATGAGTTAACTATCTGGTATAATAATAATGTGTGAACTTTATGCTATATAGAAACATATTCCAACAATTAATAATTGCGGGCGTAGTTGACGATGATCTAGCACAAAATAGTAGTGCCACGGTCATTGTACGGTCAAGCACACTATGGTAATATCGAAACGAGACGGAGCGCGCGAAATAAACTGACACAGATCCGACCTTGAGAGCAGCTGGCACGGTAGTGAATTCAGATGGCCGACGCAGTGAAATTAAGGTACTTTTATTTAATTAATTAAAAATGATTAAAACTACTTTTAGAATTTATTTTTTTTATTAGTAGGGGTGCATATAGCTTTTTTAATTATTGTTTATGGTCCGATTATGCAAAATGAACTACATGTCTTGAGGTCTTCAGTGGTATGCTGGGTTTAGTTTTAATTTTATTGATTATAGGATAAGCAGGTGGTAGTACAGCCTCCTTCTCTATTGAAATTAGGATGTTTTTTAATTTGGAGTTTATTAAAAAAATAGTAACCATTTAAAACGTAAAAATCATAGTATAGTTTACGCAAATGTTGATGATTATTTTGGTATAAATTTTACTAGTGGTGCAACGGAAGCAGAAACGGAAACAGATGTTAAAAATATTTTTTTGCAGAAACGGAAATAGAAACGGATGCGGAAATACTATTAAAAAGTTAAAACATTAGAAATAAAACTTTTAATTAATATTCAAAATTAAGTAGCGGTAGGTTATATTTTATAAAAAGTAGTTTGGCCGCTTTTACACCTAACAATCTATTTCTATGTTCTTCATAAATATATAAGTCCAGCTCCGCTAAATAATTGCTCACTGGCGATGCTGCTAGCAGTAGCTGATAAATATTGGCGCACTAATGGCAAAAGATTATGATATTTGTGTGAATTTAATTTCCACCATATAAGGGGATCCTCATGTAGAGACAATCGTTTTTATTTTTGTACTCCTGAAGTTGTGACTGTGTCTCCAAAACTTTGTCATTCTCGTTATTTGAAATTGAGTCTTCCTGGTCTACAGACTTACTTAGCATGGATTATAATATTTGTAATGATGAATATATATTTGATGACGATGTAGGTTGAACTTCATTCGAGTCAATTTGAGTTCGGCACTTTTTGGAGGGAGGTATGCCGTCATCGCAAGTGGAACTAATGAACTCTCTGGTTCTGGTGATTGCCATGTTTATTATTTTAGACTCCACCTGCTCCGTAATAATACTGGTGAAAAAATTAGATTTAGGTATATCACGGATCTAAATACGTTGCAATTGTGTATTTATAGTCTTTCGCGTAATCTTCTTGTAAAGTTTTGGAATTGTTCTGAAGTATCAGATTTCGTCACTTCTTGTTGTATTGTAGTCATAAGAACTTGAATCAAATCATCATGACTGATGAAATACTCACTTCAGAATTACTTAAGTTTCTCGTATTTTCTTCAAAAGGTTTCATTATTTATTGCACAAATTTTAAAACATTCATCCAATTTTTTGGGGAGATTATAGCGATTGGATTAGCACTTAAGTATAAGACAAGCGAATCTTTCTGTTTCGAAAACCTTTCTATCATATAGAATGTGCTGTTCCAACTCAAAATAAATCAAATTTAATTATTAAACTAAAAGAAACAATAACAGAAAATCTTACGCACTTAAACTCACCTCACTCTGTATAATCCTATACCTTTAAACGAGCAATTCTTGTATGTATATATATATATATATAATCGGAATCTCGGAAACGGCTCCAACGATTTTCATAAAATTTAGTGTCCAGGGAGTTTCGGGGGCAATAAATCGATCTAGCTAGGATTTATTTTTGGAAAATGTCTTTTATCCGTGTTTTCAGGCAATGAAAAACTGCTACAATATAAGAAGGTAAATTTTGACATCGTGTTAATGATCGTAATAGCTCAAGTGGATATCGAGCCGTCGCGAATTCGTAATGCCTTGGTTCGCGTCCTGTCTTCGGACCGGTTTTTTTAGTATTTTTTAAAAATACGAAAATTTTAATTAAACTAATTGCACTCATGATTTTTTATTCAAATAACCGGTTCAGTTTTTTGTATTATGTCAATAAGATCAAAATATATTATTTATGTTTCATCAGTATGTAATGTATCTAAATGTAATTTCAAAAAAAGAGAGTGTTCCGGGTACTGAATTTAAAACATATAAACAAAAGTGTTGGGACAAGTTCCGAAAGCACGTGTTCAGCTCGCTTGTGATTGGCTGAAACGCCCGCTCTTGTACGCCCTCAACTATTAAACGATTCACGCGTACCTCATCCACTGCGTCGCTGAGTTCCGTTCTAACTTCCGTTATAAAACTTGCGGAAATAGAAGCAGAAACGGATGTTAAAAACCATGGGGAACTTCCGCAGTTGCGGAAACAGAAACGGAGTTCTGTTGCATCACTAAATTTTACGTCAAAGTGATGTAGAACTTCGGAGATATTGGGGTTTGTGTGGAAACTTTTTCGGTAGATAATTGAATTATGTCGATATTTTTTCCTTACGTTAAGGCATATACCGAAAATGTATTTTATCATTATTAAAGTATAGGATAATTGTGATATAAAAATTCTTTTTTGATGGTCGATATTCAATAGAATCTACAAATTAGAGCTCTCAAATCATGTCTCTCAGAGTTTTGGCCTAAACATGCATCGGGAGAATGATTATTACTAAATAAATAAATAAGTTATCTAAAATTTGCCTTGAGCTTATTGTAGTAGAGAAAACGAAATATTTTTACAAAGTAATTGTTATTTCAAGCAACGAACGGAAAACATATAACTTTCACGAGGAAACGTTTACAAAATTGATAGGTATAGAATCGAACTATTACATTGACACGGGTCACATACACAAGTGTACGCACTCGGCAACTCGGCACACCTAGTTCTACTCGGCGACGAGTTCCAATAACGATTACTAAAGTACACCTTCAGGTCACTCCATCAATCCGGAGGTGCATAGTTTACGACTACGTGACATAAAAAAAAGCAATGCACACTAGTTCTACTGATAAAAATAATTTTACGATTTTATCTTACTTTGTATTTCTTATTTATCGAATTTCGGGCTTTTTCTAGCCATATTTTGTGATATATGTACAACGATCTTTTTAGCATCGAGACCGCTGCCAACAAGGATGATACAGTATCCACTCACGGACGGCGGCCGAGTACGCGGACTGCTTGGTTTCATCGATATCTTTGTACAATAAATCTAAACGAAGACCGCATGGTTCTTTTGCAGACGGACCAAAAACAATAATTAAAATAGCTGGTACTCGGTAACAATGACATTATGATTCATTTCGTACATTGTGGAAAGCGCCCGAAACTATGTGAATTAAAATAAAGTAAAAATAAACGCGATAATCCGAGTAGTTTTATTTTTTCTATGTCAATATTCGTGTACATATAAGAAATAATTACACTATTTTTTATTGAATATGTCTGCCTACCTACAGTATTTTTAGAAATTTAAAATATGTTGATAATAAACCAAAAAATATACCGAAACTAGAGCCGGTATCGTTAATTTTGTAGAAAATGACAACGAAAATTCGTTCTTACAGTATAAAAAAACTATTTTTTTTCAAAAAAAAAAAGAGTCACTACCATTTGAAGATGAAGAACCAATCTATATATATGTGGTAGTTTCTAGTTATTTTTTTACTTGGTTTAGCTTTGTCACAAAATGTACCGATAAACAGCATGAATTTGCTCAATTTGCAAACGCGTCCTCAATAACATGCAAAACTTAATAGAAGTCAGTTATTTTGATATATCAGATACTACAATTTTACATATAATATGCATAAACTAGCTAAATTAGTAAAATTAACTCCAGCAACTTACTTCTTTACCCTCATGCTCCAATTTGTGCGCTTCGAACCGTTCGGGATAGCTAAAAATACTCTTGCACAACTTACATGAAAATATTTTTGGCTTCTTTGATGTGGACAAATTTGTTTTTGACACAGATTTAACAACCACTAGGTTGGGCGAGGCTAACTCTTCTAATCTGAAAAACATTGAAACAGCTAAAATAGTTTACTTTAGCTATTTCCATAGCATTATGCCGTATGGTACACAGGATGCACTAAAAGTATCGGGAATGGAATATTTCCACTGTTCCTGTCATATTAAAATCTTTTTAATTGAAAACTCCTTGGTTTTAAAAATCGAATACCATTTATTTATTTAAAAAAAGATTCTCGGTCTTGTCACAAGGTTTTGTCAAACTTGTTTAGTCGTTGAGAAAATGGTATTGATTCGAGAAAATTCAAGAGCGATGATTTATTATGACTTTCGAAGTGGTTTAACACAAAAACAGTGTGTTGACCGGATGATTTCTGCATTTAGTGATGAAGCCCCATCAAAAACCACAATTTATCGCTGGTTTGCTGAATTTCAACGTGGACGTGTCAAGCTCAGTGATGATCCCCGTCAAGGTCGTCCAAAAACTGCAGTCACCCAAGAAAACGTTGATGCTGTGCGTAAGGTGATTGAGGAAGATCGACATGTGACATACCGCGAAATCCAGGCAACTTTAGACATTGGCATGAGTCAAATACAAATAATCTTGCATGAACAATTAGGTATAAAAAAGTCGTTTTCCCGATGGATATCGCATTCGCTCTGTGAAGAGCAAAAAGCGGCTCGCGTTACTTGGTGCGTCAGAACTCTCGAAAGATTCCACGCAGGATCCTCAAATGCTGTATACAACATCGTATCAAGTGACGAATCCTGTATATACGCGTACGAACCCGAAACAAAAAACCAGTCACAAGTTTGGGTGTTCGAAAATGAGTTAAAGCCAACGAAAATTGTTCGTTCACGGTGTTGCAAAAAAAATGGTGGCCACGTTTGTCTCCAAAACCGACCATGTTACGACTATTCCTCTTGAGGGACAAAGAACGGTTAATGCAGAATGGTATGCTAGCATTTGTTTGCCACAGGTCGTTTCTGAATTCCGTAAAGAGAACTGCCACCGCCGCATCATCCTCCATCACGACAATGCGAGTTCGCACACCGCACACAAAACAAAAGAGTTTTTAGAGCAAGAAAACATAGAATTATTAGACCATCCGCCGTACAGCCCCGACCTAAGTCCTAATGATTTCTATACTTTCCCTAAAATAAAGAATAAATTGCGTGGACAGAGATTTTCATCACCTGAAGAAGCTGTGGACGCCTACAAAACGGCCATTTTGAAGACCCCCAACTTCCGAATGGAATGGTTGCTTCAATGATTGGTTCCATCGTATGGAAAAATGTGTCAAATTTCGCGGAGAATACTTCGAAAAGCAATAAATACATTTATAAATAGTAATGTTGTGTCACTTCCTTGATTCCCGAAATTTTCTGTGCCGCCCTCGTATTTTGCTATGGGGACACGCGAATGACACTGAAATTATGTTTGTTTTACAGAAGAGGTTCATTGGAGCAATATATGATTTAAGACCAAAAGAGTCGCTCAGATAAAAATTTAAGGAAATTAATATATTAACTCTGGCCTCTCAATACATCTATAAAAATGTAATGTACGTAGATAAAAATAAATGTAGTTTTGCAAAAATAAGTAATATTGATTTTGTAAATACTAGGAACAGACATTAGCTACTAGCATCAGTTAAGAGGTTTTTTTTTGCGAACCAGTGGTAAATGAAAAAAGTGACTTTCAATAAGTATTGTTTATAATCTATATTGATTAAAAAAGTTTCCGTTTCTGTTTCTATTAGTTATCTTCTAAATGTGAACTGGCGACTCATGAGCTCATGACCGATATACTTGCTGGTCTGACAAATTAATGACGCATTTACAGAGGTGATAAATACAGGCGACCTAGAATGGTGATTTGTTTTGTTCAGCATTGTTCTTGTGATGGCATATAATGATTACCCTTATACAACATATACATTGCGTATATGCTGTACAGATTCCAAAAATAGCTGTTAGGAGATAGGGTTCATGAAATGAAACACAGCTATCAATTAGCAGTAAGAATCAATAAGCATCATAATATATTATGTAAAGAAACTTTATTGTATTTGACAGATTTCATACATATGCTTTTAATAAGCTTGTATGCTAACAAATTAAATGGCACAGATTTTAGGTTAAAAATGTATGTTCACTTTAGCATGATATTTTGAATAAACATAAAAAACAGTGTTTCTCAAACATTTTGACCTCATTCATACTTGTGCTAAGATTTTGTCTATTATAATTCATTTTTTGTACGGATAATTGAGTTAATGTATGTTTCGAATTAAACAATAGTTACAAAAATATTTTTCATTTTTTTCATTCAACATCATCATGGTACATAATTTTATTACTCTTATCAGTAATAAAATTATGTACCAATGCATGTATAGTACATATATTATACATAGTACATATATTGGGCCTTTTCGTGACATTTTTGCTCCTGCCTTCATCTCTCATTCATTGGTTTAATTTCAAATGAGTTTAATTTGGATATATATATATATATATATATATATATATATATATATATATATATATATATATATATACACCAAAAAATAAAATAGCTTAGCGTTGAGCGAAACAATATATTATTTTATTTCTGATAAAAAATACATGATTCTGTATAATTAGTTTTTAATAATTTAAAACCCTAAATTTTTATATATATAGCAGCATATAAGACGGCAAATGAGGCTGCAGTGTTCAGCAGAGAGAGAGATTTGACAGCAACTGAACTGAACAGACAGATCTCCAAATGCATGCTGCAGGAACTACGCATCTTCAATACAGCTCGTATTGAAAAAACGATCCAGCTGAACGAGGGCTCCAAAGTCTTTGCCAGAGATCTGTCTGCTAGAAATGGCCAATTGTCTGTTGTTGCATTGCAGTTGTGCTCCCACGGAAAGGCTTCAGATGAATATGGGCGAAACAAAGGTCATATGTAACGTCCATGTCACACTTATGCCGGTAGTTGTTGGGAGCACTATGGTCGAAGTTTTCGACGAGGATGTTTACCTGAGAGAAATAGTCCGACTAGGTAAGTCCAATTTCAACAAGAGGTCAATCGACGTATTCAAATCGTCTGGGCAGTGTTTGGGAAATTATGGCACATTTTCTCGTCAGATATACCTTAAAACTTGAAAAGGAGATTGTACAACCAGTGTATGTTACCAGTGATTACTTATGGTTCTGAGACATGGTTCTTCACTGCTGTCTGTATAAGGAATTTAGCTATCTTTGGCTAGCTGAACATATTATGTCTAAATGGAATAAGTTCATACATGCTGTTGTTTATGTCTTGCGTTTTGCAAGAATTTTAAGTTGCAAAATTTTGTTTCTGTACAAGATATATAGAGATCGCTGAAAAATATGTTTTATTTATATTCAAAAAAGACATTTTAAGGACAGCAACAGCCAAGTTTTAAGTAAATTAAATGTGTTTGTAGACAAGGAAAACATCTTAAGAGTTGATGGACGTCTAAATCAATAGCCTTCAAAATACAAACACACATATATCTCATCAAAGACAAACAACAGCACATATGAACTTATTCCATTTAGACATACGTTCAGCTAGCCAAGTTCATGGTTGCTCAGCGAGCTATAGAAAGGGCTATGCTCGGGATTTCTCCGCGTGATACACTTAGAAATTAAAATATCCGCAGTAGAACCAGAGTGACTGACACGGCCCAACGAATTAGTAAGCTGAAGTGACAATGGGCTGGTTATATAGTTCGAAGAATAGACAACCAATGGGGAAAAATATTCTCAAGTAGCAGTGGAGTGACAACCTGTCAATCAGACATGCAGGAAGTTGATGGATGCAGGTGGCTCGGGACCGTTCTTTGTGGCATTCCATGGGGAAGGCCTATGTTCAGCAGTGGACTTGTGAAGAGCTGCGATGATGATGATGATGTTGATGAACTGGCATAGGGAAATGGAGCATGCACTAACCTGGCGATGTTCAGCGACGAGTCTCAAGCTTGTCAGATTCGATTTCAGCAATGCACTCCTAGTTGTACTTCACAAATGTAGCACAGTTCACGGTGTTGATTTTAAGTTTTTGATAATTTAAGCAAATGAAGCAATGTGTCGTTAAAAGCGAGTGAGACTCAGTATAATACAGCGAGCGTGCTACGAACTAAGAACGAAGAGCGCCAGTTGCGAACCAATATATGAAGGGTTTAGTGGCAATTTGATTGACTAAAAATGTGGGAATATTCCAATTTGAAAATGTGCCGGTAACATATATGGTATAACAAAATCAATTAACATTTATTTTATACTAACCTTTTAGATGTTTTTTTATTTGTAGTGTTATCACAAGATAATTCATTTTTTGTTTCTAATTCATTAGTATTATCAATTTCCCTTTTATCACTGTCTAATACACCTGTAACAAGAAAATATTATAACAATAATTTCAACAAATTGTCCATTTACAGTATATTATGTCTACTGGTTGATTTTGGGCAATGATTATGGAAAAACTATGAATAATGCTAACTACAAACTGCATGCCATTAAATATTTACATTCCATGGAGATTTTAAAAGACGACAGAAGGAACCTGAAACTTGACATGGATGCAGCATCTTAATGATTATACATTCACAATAATAAAAAAACTGCAGTTGACAATACCCATCTGCCAAGCGCAACACAACAACTTAAGCATATGGGTGCGTTTGGTAGAAAAAAGTGCTAGCAAGCGCTTATAAGCGCTAAAATAGTTTTCGGCCAGGACACGATTGCTACTTCAGTAGCACTGACACAATCCGCCATTTTGCTTATTTAATTTGTTTGTTTTGAAGTAGAGTTTGTAAGTTGTTTTGTGCAATATTAGTTTTAAGTAATATAATGACATGAATAAACATATACATGTTATTAAAAATTCATGACTGGTAAGTTTTTAATATGAATACTTTACAAACATATATTTAAATTAGGTTAGGTTCCCCGGTTAAAACTAACATCGTGTCCTAGAGGAAAATAGCTACTTACGATTTGACAGCACTTACCGCTTACGATCGCCATTTTGCTTACAAGCGCTTGCTAGCGCTTTTTTCTGCCAAACGCACCCATTATCTTATCTATGAAGTAATCTATGTGGAAGTTGGAGGCCTGTGTTAGAATTTTTCATTGTTATGAATGATGAATGAATGAATGACTAACAGTAAACAATAAAATTATATTTCTTATTTACGCGAACATTGCACATGATTAAAACTACTTTTAGTAAATAGTGCTATGGGTGGCACACATGTTTGATGTAATACATTTGTGATACGATTGTAAATGGTTAAGATGCAGTGATACATGGGGGTAATGTCTGTCTGAGATTCATACTAGCTCATACTATAATAGAACCTGCAGCATAGAGACTCGGTATACTCAAAAGGTTCTCATAATTAATATATTATTACAATTATAATTAAATTGGATTAATTTAATTATAATTGTAATAATATATAATTAATATATTATTACAATTATAATTAATACAATTATAAATAAATTTGAGAATGATTGCTTTTCTACTTCCTGTTTCTGCTAAATTAACTTAAAAAATTCAAAACAATACTAAAAAAAAATTTGCATGTAATTGTTTACACACGTAATGAAAATTCCTAATGACATATCATTCTTTTTTAATTTTGTATTTTACATAAGTAGGTTGAATAATAGTACTCGTATACTTATGCAGTCCCGATGGTGAAACATTGCAAGAAATTGTGACTTTTGTTAAACCATACTGAATTTCTCCACTATATCGATAAAGAAGTTTCACTACAAAAATGGAGGTAAGTACATATATTTTTAAACATTCAACAAGTAAATATTGTTAAAAAATGAAAAATCCTAAATAAAGTTATTTCTTATTAGCTAATTAAAAATTAAGAGATAAGAAGTTTTCATTAAACCATCATGATATGTATAGTGATAACATTATAGGGGAGAGTATATTATCGCCTTGCAGCACACCAATACTAGTGACAATCAAAACAGACAACTTCTGTCCTGACTGCTAATGATTGTGAAGATAGGAAATAAGTCATTCCTAGGCTGAAGGCACAATAATGCAACAAAAAATATATGTAAAAATGGAGAAAAGGTATTGCGGTCAACTGTGTTAAAAGCTCAGAAAAGTCAACACGTGCCATAGTTGTTAATTTCTACTCATCTATACCTTTCTTTATATTATCAACTGTGACCTTGATTAGGGCAGGAGTGATGCTATTACCAAGAGGAACCCCTGACTGAAACACATTGGCTATATTTTGTTATGAAAAAAGATATTTGTTTATGAACACAGGAAAGAAAGGAAGAATAGAAATTGAATAAAACTCATGAGTTAATATTTGGAAGTGTTTAGTAGTTTACAAAGTAATATACATAAGGATTTGGTCCTTTTGGTAAAGGTATAACATATACTTTGCCACTGTCCTGAGTCAAGTGAAAAATTTTATAATGACGGGTAATGACTGGAGAAAATATCTGGAAGTATAAAAATCATGAATTTCAAGAAATAATTACTTACAGTTGTTATATGGTCCATCTTCAGCCTGTTCAGTGTTCACATCGCTCGTATCAAATTCTTTGCTATACTCATCTTCACCAGCTACAGTGTGTGAATCTATATCTATAGTCAACCATACATTACTTTCTATTTTTAATGATTTATTACATTCTAATAAAGTATTTTGAGATTTAATACAAGTTTGTTTGAAATCGAAAAGTTTCATAAGTAGTTCATAACAAATTTCACATATAGCTTTAGGCAAGTCTTCATTCTGTTGGACCTGATGAATTATAGAAAAATAAAATTTAATAAGGCCAAAATATACCATTTTATAATTTACTATTGCAAAATAAATGTTTAAGTATATTCTTACTTCTACTGATGTGCAATATGAATACATATTTGATGAAATATTGTCGAATAAAAAATACTTGAAAGATTCCTTGGCAGTTAAACAGGCACGGCATATTTTGTTGAAGTAAGCCATTTTTATCAACTTTATAATTTGTGATTTCTATTATTTTCTAGTCGTGTCCTTTGTTTATAATTGTACCAAACGGAATCAGTCGCATCTCAAATGATTTCCTGATCAATGTTGACTATTAAAATACTAACAGTAAATTAGATTTTAAAAGGATTCTTCTCTATTTAACTCTCCGGTTACTGCATATACAAAAAGTACTCTGTTGGTTACTGCTTATTTTCTGACATGTCTGTTCGTATTTATCTTCTGCAATGTAATAAATCCTCATCAACAGCATTTCCAGTGATTTCCAGGGTATGTTGTACTTGTTGTACTTGTATGTTCCAAAATAGAACCCAGTGTTAGGGATGTTCGATGACCATCGCTCACTTCTTCACATACATGTTCGATGATCATCGATGTTAGAAATTAAAACATCGATGTTGCCACATGCTAAACATCATAACATCGATGATACCACATGTCAAACATCGAAACATCGATGTCAATGAGCCAATAATTGATTAATAAAAACTTGTGAAAAATGCGAACCCGCGTAATCAATATCAACTAAATATTTCATCTCCTATTAAAGGTTTCAAATTTTGAATAATTTAGGATTCTTAAATGCATCAATCACTTGAAAAATATCATTATGTTGTGTCAAACTCCCTCTCAAGTGTGAACCGTAATGTCACATTTGTCACTGCTTTCGCTTTGTTGTTCTGTGGTATCATTGTCGCCCACTTACTTTTAGTACTTTGTATGTAAACTTACGTTTACGAACACATCAGGCAACATCAAGCAAATTAAAAAGTGTTAAAAGGTTCAGGAAGTTGGCACCCGGAAATAATAACTAAAAATGCGACTAGTATAAATCGATTGCGCGTTAAAATTATGTTTATCGGTACTAATTATTTGTTTGCGCGTCAAATATTTGTTTGGATATTAAAAGAAATAAGGCGGGTACTGTCAAATAATAAATTATTATTTTGTACTTAAAAATGACGATAAAAGAACAATTAAAAAATGTAAATTTGTAGATGTTCACGTGCGCAATCAGCACCCGATATCAGTTTATACATAAGCTATTTTTTTACATCGTTAATAAATAATCCCATAACCACAGCCGCAGCGACTGCTCGAGAGTGCAACTTCCCTAGTACACTAGCTTTTTCTTTAGTTGGCAGCATTCTACGACCGTTCGAGGAGAACAAGCCAATCATCAATACAGATGGTGTCGGTGGTCGTATTATCAGTTATTACTACAAGCACATTTTAGACTTTTGATTGTTTTTGACACATAGGTTATGTTCCGAAATACAACGTAGTGTACTGTCCGATGCAAATGACGTCATGAATCGACGCTATACTGGTGATTCGTTCCAAAACATTGGACAGTATATGACGTCATACTTTTGCGCCATTTGGAAAAGTGTTGGCGATTATTTTGTCATTTTGTGCTCCAAAAATCATTATATCCTCCTAATGGATATACCATCAATTATTCTATATTTTTTTTGTATTTGAATAAATAGAAACAAATTCTGGCATGCTTCATTAGGCAAACACACAATTAAAAATTGTTTTATTATGGCCGGATATCCGACACAATATGACAGCGGCACGCTAGTACAATAAAGCTTTGAGCATAGACAATAGCAATAAAGTGACAAATGATGACGTCATTTACATTGGACAGTACCATAGATTACTGTATATATACTAGAGATAGATGTGCGACTCAAATTTAATTTTAGTTAAAGTTTTTGTTTTGCCTAATAGATGGCGTTAAAATTTTGGTGCTTTGGGCTCGCCCTTTTTTTGCATTTTAATATTTTTATTTTATATACAACCACTAATTACATTGCTTAAGTGCTGCAATGTAATTAATAGTTGTTTATGTTTCTTGTGGTAATTGTAAGTTCCTATACCAAAAAATAAAAAACAGGTTATTTTTAAAACGTTTATTGTTTAAAAATCTTTGCTTAGTTATTGAATAACATTAGATGTGTTAAATTTAACAGTATTTGCACAATATCAATTGATTTCTTTATACAATATCCCTACTTGTTAGTAAATATCTTATATTACAGAGAATAGAACATTTTGTTTAATTAAATATAGATTATTACATAATACTTATTGGAAATCGTGTTTTATTTACCACTGATACCACTGTCCTGGGAAGAACCAACAAGAAACCCATCTTGACTTTTTTTTAAACATATTTCACTTTACAATATCATTTTTTTAAACAAATTTTAATAGTACATACAAGCATGATTGCGATCACCTCATACCCAGGAGTATTTTATTTTATGTATTCTTTGATAATATAATAACACTTTTTGTACATTTTTCCTTTAATAAAACATTTCAAATTGTTAATTGACAAATTTTGAACATTTTCTGAAATTTCGTTGTGAAAGCGTGTAATACATTGCCCCATAAAGCACTACTGACTCAGTGGATTCTAGTAACTAGTATTACAAGCTTATGTTTGTTCCTAGTGTTTAAAGTTTGAACATCTTTATTCATATAAAAGCTATTTATAACACTTTTTGTACATTTTTCCTTTAATAAAACATTTCAAGTTGTTAATTGACAAATTTTGTACATTTTCTGCAATTTTGTTGTAAAAGCGTGTAATACATTGCCCTATAAAGCACTACTGACTCAGTGGATTCTAGTATATAGTATTACAAGCTTATGTTTGTTCCTAGTGTTTAAAGTTAGAACATCTTTATTCTTATAAAAGCTATTTATAACACTTTTTGTACATTTTTCCTTTAATAAAACATTTCAAGGTGTTAATTGACAAATTTTGTACATTTTCTGCAATTGTGTTGTAAAAGCGTACAATACATTGCCCCATAAAGCACTACTGACTCAGTGGATTCTAATAACTAGTATTACAAGCTTATGTTTGTTCCTAGTGTTTAAAGTTTGAACATCTTTATTCTTATAAAAGCTATTTATAACACTTTTTGTACATTTTTCCTTTAATAAAACATTTCAAGGTGTTAATTGACAAATTTTGTACATTTTCTGCAATTGTGTTGTAAAAGCGTACAATACATTGCCCCATAAAGCACTACTGACTCAGTGGATTCTAATAACTAGTATTACAAGCTTATGTTTGTTCCTAGTGTTTAAAGTTTGAACATCTTTATTCTTATAAAAGCTATTTATAACACTTTTTGTACATTTTTCCTTTAATAAAACATTTCAAGTTGTTAATTGACAAATTTTGTACATTTTCTGCAATTTTGTTGTAAAAGCGTATTACATTGCCCTATAAAGCACTACTGACTCAGTGGATTCTAGTAACTAGTATTACAAGCTTATGTTTGTTCCTAGTGTTTATAGTTTGAACATCTTTATTCTTATAAAAGCTATTTATAACACTTTTTGTATTTTTCCTTTAATAAAACATTTCAAGTTGTTAATTGACAAATTTTGTACATTTTCTGCAATTGTGTTGTAAAAGCGTGTAATACATTGCCCCATAAAAGAACTACGGATACAGTGGATTCTAGTAACTGGTATTACAAGCCTATTTTTGGTCCTAGTGTTTGAAAGTATGAACATTTTCATTGCTGCTTTTATTTGACATTTTTGTTTTTTAATTTCGTTTTTTAAAATCATGATTTTGTTAATTATTTTTTTTATTTTCACATCTGTACGCCTTCTTGTAATCAATGTACCTGAAAAAATTACGACAATCAGGTATGCATATAGAGATCAAATGAAACAATGACAGCATAGATCAAATTGTATTGGATTCTCCTTTTTTAATGAATGATTTTGAATTGCAACTTCTGCCGTATAATGATATAATATATATTATGCAATATGCTATTAGAATGCTTCTGGAGCTGGCGCAGTGCTGCAGTGTACACAGTGCAAAAAATGTAGCATTGCAAATGTAGCACTGCATGGCTTGCGGCCCAGTGATAACAAAAGAAGGATGGCCAAATCGTACCAGACAACGAAATTACAGCGTCCCAATATGAAATATTTATGTAAAATACCCTTATTGTTAAGGTATTCATTATATTGTTGTAACTGTTCAAAATTATTTCAAATAATAGTTTCAGAACGCACCTAATAACGATTCATTTCATGTGTGAAAGGACTTGGTATTCAAAGACTATAATTATTCACGTTTTTACGAATAGTTGTTAGTTTAAATTCAATTATGCTGATTTATTATGTACTGGATTAATATCAATCATTATTAATCAGTTCCACGTCATTAACCATCTCATGTACCATGTTTTTAAGCAAATATATTTTCTATTCTAAGAATATGTATTTTTATAGAATAGGTGTGACAAAGGAGCACACAGTCCACCTGATGGTAAGTGGTTGCTGTGGCCCTTAGACATCTACATCTGTCCTCGATTACGAATCAAGGTGCAGATGCGTTGTTACCCATGAGGACTAAGATGGAATGCCTCGTTTCCAGTAAAAAGGGTCTCCGGATCTCTACACTCACCATACAAAACACAACAGCATTAAGCTACCATTTGACGCTGGCATTCTGTGAGAACGTGGTCCCTCCCCGGTCGAGCCGACCCATTCGTGCTATAACATACTACTAATATAACAGCAGCATGGCTCTACCACGTAAAAAATGGTAGACTATTACTCGTTAAAAATCCGTTAACTTGTTAATTCTAATTTGATGCGATAGTTTTCCTTTTAACTTCAATGCTACTATTGAGTATACTTTCCACATTTCCAAAAATAGCAGTTTAGTTGGCAGAGGAGACACATGAATCTAATGAAAAATACGACTTTAAAGCTTAATATTTCGGAAACAAACCCCTGAATCGTAAAGGTGTTCTTCCATACTCGCAATGTTTTTGAAATACCTATCCAACAATACCTTACATAGGAGGTTTACCCAAAATAAAAATGTTTTTAAGATTTTATTTCACAGTTTTGTAGACATGATTAATGCCTATAAATTATGCAAAATGACAAATTTGTAACACTTAGTGTCTCTGAGTAAA